GGTAAGGGGGTTAGTGATGAAGGGGGGTAGTGGATGAGAGGGGTAGTAGTGAAGGGGGGGTAGTGGTGAAGGGGGGGGTATTGGTGAAGGGGTTGTAGTGATGAAGGGGGGGTAGTGATGAAGGGGGGGTGGTGAAGGGGGTTGTGGGATGTGAGGGGGGTAGTGGTGAAGGGGGTAGTGATGAAGGGGGTAGTGAAGAAGAGTAGTGGTGAAGGGTTGGTGAAGGGGGTAGTCGGTGCAGGGGTATGGTGAAGGGGGTAGTGATGAAGGGTATTGGTTGATCAAGGGGTTAGTGGGGTGAAGGGGGTAGTGGTGAAGGGGTAGTGGTGAAGGGGGTAGTGGTGAAGGGGGTAGTGATTGAAGGGGTAGTGGTGAAGGGGTAGTGGTGAAGGGGGTAGTGATGAAGGGGTAGTGGTGAAGGGGGGGTAGTGGTGAAGGGGGTGTAGTGGTGAAGGGGGGTAGTGATGAAGGGGGTAGTGGTGAAGGGGTAGTGATGAAGGGGGATATGTAGGGGTAGTGGTGAAGGGGGTAGTGATGAAGGGGTAGTGGTGAAGGGGTATTGGTGAAGGGGTAGTGGTGAAGGGGGTAGTGATTGAAGGGGTAGTAGTGAAGGGGGTTTTGGTATGGGGTAGTGATGGGGGGTAGTGGTGATGAAGGGGGGGGTGGTAGTGGTGAAGGGGGACAGTGATGAAGGGGGGGTAGTGATGAAGGGGGGGGTAGTGGTGAAGGGGTAGTTAGTGAGGGGGTAGTGGTGAAGGGGGTAGTGATGAAGGGGGTAGTGGTTGAGGGGGGGGGGTAGTGATGAAGGGGTAGTGGTGAAGGGGTAGTGAAGGGGGTAGTGGTTGAAGGGGTTAGTGGTGAATGAAGGGGTAGTGATGAAGGGGTAGTGGTGAAGGGGGTATTAGTGCTAGTGGTGCAGTGATGGGGGTAGTTGTGAAGGGGGTAGTGATGAAGGGGTAGTGATGAAGGGGGTAGTGATGAAGGGGGTAGTGATGAAGGGGGTAGTGGTGAAGGGGGTAGTGGTGAAGGGGGTAGTGGTGAAGGGGGTAGTGATGAAGGGGTAGTGGTGAAGGGGGGTAGGTAGTGATGAAGGGGGTAGTGGTGAAGGGGGTAGTGATGAAGGGGGTAGTGGTGAAGGGGGTAGTGGTGAAGGGGTAGTGATGAAGGGGTAGTGGTGAAAGGGGGTAGTGGTGAAGGGGTAGTGATGAAGGGGTAGTGGTGAAGGGGGTAGTGGTGAAGGGAGTAGTGATGAAGGGGGTAGTGATGAAGGGGGTAGTTGGGGGGGTAGTGGTGAAGGGGTAGTGGTGAAGGGGGTAGTGGTGAAGGGGTAGTGGTGAAGGGGGTAGTGGTGAAGGGGGTAGTGGTGAAGGGGGTAGTGATGAAGGGGTAGTGATGAAGGGGGTAGTGATGAAGGGGGGTAGTGATGAAGGGGGTAGTGATGAAGGGGCTAGTGGTGAAGGGGGTAGTGATGAAGGGGGTAGTGATGAAGGGGGTAGTGGTGAAGGGGGTAGTGATGAAGGGGTAGTGGTGAAGGGGTAGTGATGAAGGGGTAGTGATGAAGGGGTAGTGGTGAAGGGGTAGTGGTGAAGGGGTAGTGGTGAAGTGGGTAATGGTGAAGGGTAGTGGTGAAGGGGTAGTGGGGGTCTTAGGTAGGGTGTAGAGGTTATTCCTGGCGGTGATCGCATACTCAGGGAATCCTGCCCTCCACATTTGTGCATGTACTCCCCTATATGTACTCTCCTACATTGTACTCAACCTACATGTATTCACATAGTGGTAATTACAGCGCGGGTGTTAGCGCCTGGGCGTCTCCAGCAACTGGTCAACCAGTTCAACGACTCCCCGCACTTGTGCAGTATTGGTTATGAACCTGTTAAAGCTGGCCTCGGGAATGTCACATTTAACCAATTTAACTGTTAGTAACTGTGTTGAAATATGTCAGGTCTCTCTCACCTCCCAGCGGCTCTAGTTAACAATGATCATCTCTGCTCTAGTGTTCCTCAGTGTTAACACTGCCCCTTTTTGCCTGCTTTAAAACCCTTCAATATTTTGTGGCTGGTGTCATTGTAGCAGTTCATTCCTTGGCCCCGCAGTGATGGTCCGTAGAGCAACTGTCTCGCTTCTTGCAGGTCTGTGTTCGATCTCCGATGGTCCTAGTGATTTAGCACCGTTCCATCACTTCGTCATTCTAAAGACAAATAGGTTTAGCGCTTCTCATGATCATTGTGTGTCTTCCAACATGACGGGAGTGAGGTCCTCCAACCTGCTTGCTTGATACCTGCTTGATGGGGTTCTGGGAGTTCATGTAGTCCCAAGCCTGTCCCGAGGCCAGGCTTGACTTGTGAGAATTTGGTCCACCAGGCTGTTGCTTGGAGCGGCCCGCAGGCCCACATACCCACCACAGCCCGGTTGGTCCAGCACTTCTTGGAGAAAATTATCTAGTTTCCTCTTGAAGATGTCCACGGTTGTTCTGGCAATATTTCTTATAGTCGCTGGGAGGACGTTGAACAACCGCGGACCTCTGATGTTTATACAGTGTTCTCTGATTGTGCCTATGGCACCTCTGCTCTTCACTGGTTCAATCTTGCATTTTCTTCGTTCACTCCAGTATGTTGTTATTTTACTGTGTAGATTTGGGACTTGGCCCTCCAGTATTTTCCATGTGTATATTATTTGGTATCTCTCTCGTTTCCTTTCTAGTGTGTACATTTGGAGAGCTTTGAGACGATCCCAATAATTTAGGTACTTTATCTCGTCTATGCGTGCCGTATATGTTCTCTGTATTCCCTCTATTTCAGCAATCTCTCCTGCTCTGAAGGGGGAAGTGAGTACTGAGCAGTACTCGAGACGGGACGACACAAGTGACTTGAAGAGTACAACCATTGTGATGGGATCCCTGGATTTGAAAGTTCTCATAATGCATCCTATCATTTTTCTGGCTGACGCAATATTTGCTTGGTTATGCTCCCTAAACGTTAGGTCGTCGGACATCATTATTCCCAAATCCTTGACATGCTGTTTTCCTACTATGGTGAGATTTGATTGTGTTTTGTACCCTGTATTATGTTTCAGATCCTCATTTTTGCCGTACCTGAGTACCTGAAATTTATCACTGTTAAACCATCATGTTATTTTCTGTTGCCCAATCGAAAACTTTGTTGACATCTGCTTGTAATTTTTCAATGTCTTCCGTAGAGGTAATTTTCATGCTGATTTTTGTCATCTGCAAAGGACGACACGAAGCTGTGACTTGTATTTTTGTCTATATCTTATATGAGAATAAGGAACAGCAGTGGTGCAAGGACTGTACCTTGAGGTACAGAGCTTTTAACTGCGCTCGGACTCGATTTTACTTGATTGACTGTTACTCTTTGTGTTCTGTTCGACAGGAAATTGAGTATCCAGCGTCCTACTTTACCAGTTATACCCATTAACCTCATTTTGTGTGCGATCACTCCATGGTCACATTTGTCGAATGCCTTTGCAAAGTCTGTGTATACGACATCTGCATTTTGCTTTTCTTCTAGAGTTTCTGTGATTTTGTCATAGTGGTTGAGTAACTGTGAGAGACAGGATCTTCCCGCTCTAAATCCATGTTGTCCTGGGTTGTGTAGTCCATTGCTTCCCATAAAACTAGAAATTTGATTTCTAATCACTTTTTCAAAAACTCTTATTGTGTGAGATGCTAGTGCATCTGGTCCATAGTTTTTCGCCAAGGCTTTACTCCCCCCCCCCCCCCCCCTTGTGCAGCGGAGGTATATCTGCTGATTTAAGCGCAGCTGGTATCTTCCCTGAATCCAGGCTCATTCTCCATATTATGCTGAGCGCTCGCGCTACTGGTACTTAACATTTCTTAATGAATATTGAATTCCACGAGTCAGGCCCAGGAGCTGAGTGCATGGGCATATTGTCAATTTATCTTTCAAAGTCTTCCGAGTTCGCGTTAATATCTGTTATATTATCTACAGCTTGAATGTCATTCATAATGAATCTGTCTGGATCATCAACTTTCACGTTGTTTATTGGTGTCGCTGCAGGTCACATCCTGGAGATCCCGTACAAGTATCACCCTTGTCTTGGGACAATATTTGGTCTAGTTTAGGTTTGTTATTTTCAGAGCCTGCAGTCAGGAGTGGCTCTCTGGAGTGTGGGGCGGACCTACACCGTATATACGGTGTTGAGGAGGCCTGGTTGTCGAGGCTCCTGAAGGCTCTCAAGTACATTTGACAGTTGTGTGATTGTTGAAGATGTTGGTGATGTGGTCTCTGGTCCGCTGGTCCTCTGGTCCGCTGGTCCGCTGGTCTTCTGGTCCGCTGGTCCGCTGGTCCTCTGGTCCGCTGGTCCGCTGGTCCTCTGGTCCGCTGGTCCTCTGGTCCGCTGGTCCTCTGGTCCTCTGGTACGCTGGTCCTCTGGTCCGCTGGTCCTCTGGTCCGCTGGTCCTCTGGTCCGCTGGTCCTCTGGTCCGCTGGTCCTCTGGTCCGCTGGTCCTCTGGTCCGCTGGTCCTCTGGTCCTCTGGTCCGCTGGTCCGCTGGTCCTCTGGTCCGCTGGTCCTCTGGTCCGCTGGTCCGCTGGTCCATCTGGTCCTCTGGTCCGCTGGTCCTCTGGTCCTCTGGTTCGCTGGTCCGCTGGTCCTCTGGTCCGCTGGTCCTCTGGTCCGCTGGTCCTCTGGTCCGCTGGTCCTCTGGTCCGCTGGTCCTCTGGTCCGCTGGTCCTCTGGTCCGCTGGTCCTCTGGTCCGCTGGTATTATCCTACCACCTGGTATCACAGAATGACCTTTCTAATTAAACTTTTTATACAATGATGCCTTTGTTCCGGGTTTGTTCCATCATGTACTACAGGCTGTGGTTGTTCCATCATGTACTACAGGCTGTGGTTGTTCCATCATGTGCTACAGGCTGTGGTTGTTCCATCATGTACTACAGGCTGTGGTTGTTCCAACATGTATTACAGGCTGTGGTTGTTCCATCATGTGCTACAGGCTGTGGTTGTTCCATCATGTACTACAGGCTGTGGTTGTTCCATCATGTACTACAGGCTGTGGTTGTTCCATTATGTGCTAAAGGCTGTGGTTGTTCCATCATGTACTACAGGCTGTGGTTGTTCCATCATGTACTACAGGCCGTGGTTGTTCCATCATGTGCTACAGGCTGTGGTTGTTCCATCATGTAACAAGGCTGTGGTTGTTCCATCATGTACTACAGGCTGTGTTTGTTCCATCATGTGCTACAGGCTGTGGTTGTTCCATCATGTACTACAGGCTGTGGTTGTTCCATCATGTACTACAGGCTGTGGTTGTTCCATCATGTACTACAGGCCGTGGTTGTTCCATCATGTACTACAGGCTGTGTTTGTTCCATCATGTACTACAGGCTGTGTTTGTTCCATCATGTACTACAGGCCGTGTTTGTTCCATCATGTACTACAGGCTGTGGTTGTTCCAACATGTACTACAGGCTGTGTTTGTTCCAACATGTACTACAGGCTGTGGTTGTTCCATCATGTGCTACAGGCTGTGGTTGTTCCATCATGTACTACAGGCCGTGGTTGTTCCATCATGTACTACAGGCTGTGGTTGTTCCATCATGTACTACAGGCTGTGGTTGTCCCATCATGTACTACAGGCTGTGGTTGTTCCATCATGTGCTACAGGCTGTGGTTGTTCCATCATGTACTACAGGCCGTGGTTGTTCCATCATGTACTACAGGCTGTGGTTGTTCCAACATGTGCTACAGGCTGTGGTTGTCCCATCATGTACTACAGGCCGTGGTTGTTCCATCATGTACTACAGGCTGTGGTTGTTCCATCATGTACTACAGGCTGTGGTTGTTCCATCATGTACTACAGGCCGTGGTTGTTCCATCATGTACTTCAGGCTGTGTTTGTTCCATCATGTACTACAGGCCGTGTTTGTTCCATCATGTACTACAGGCCGTGTTTGTTCCATCATGTACTACAGGCTGTGGTTGTTCCATCATGTACTACAGGCTGTGGTTCCATCATGTACTACAGGCTGTGTTTGTTCCATCATGTGCTACAGGCTGTGGTTGTTCCAACATGTACTACAGGCTGTGTTTGTTCCAACATGTACTACAGGCTGTGGTTGTTCCATCATGTGCTACAGGCTGTGGTTGTTCCATCATGTACTACAGGCTGTGGTTGTTCCATCATGTACTACAGGCTGCGGTTGTTCCATCATGTACTACAGGCTGTGGTTGTTCCAACATGTACTACAGGTCGTGGTTGTTCCAACATGTACTACAGGCCATGTTTGTTCCATCATGTACTACAGGCCGTGTTTGTTCCAACATGTACTACAGGCCGTGGTTGTTCCAACATGTACAACAGGCCGTGGTTGTTCCATCATGTGCTACAGGCTGTGGTTGTTCCATCATGTACTACAGGCTGTGGTTGTTCCAACATGTGCTACAGGCTGTGTTTGTTCCATCATGTACTACAGGCTGTGTTTGTTCCATCATGTACTACAGGCTGTGGTTGTTCCATCATGTGCTACAGGCTGTGGTTGTTCCATCATGTACTACAGGCTGTGGTTGTTCCATCATGTACTACAGGCTGTGGTTGTTCCATCATGTACTACAGGCCGTGGTTGTTCCAACATGTACTACAGGCCGTGTTCCATCATGTACTACAGGCTGTGGTTGTTCCATCATGTACTACAGGCTGTGGTTGTTCCAGCATGTGCTACAGGCCGTGTTTGTTCCAACATGTACTACAGGCCGTGGTTGTTCCATCATGTGCTACAGGCTGTGGTTGTTCCATCATGTACTACAGGCTGTGGTTGTTCCATCATGTGCTACAGGCTGTGGTTGTTCCATCATGTACTACAGGCCGTGGTTGTCCCATCATGTACTACAGGCCGTGGTTGTTCCAACATGTGCTACAGGCTGTGGTTGTTCCAACATGTGCTACAGGCTGTGGTTGTTCCAACATGTGCTACAGGCTGTGGTTGTTCCATCATGTACTACAGGCTGTGGTTGTTCCATCATGTACTACAGGCCGTGGTTGTCCCATCATGTACTACAGGCCGTGGTTGTTCCAACATGTGCTACAGGCTGTGGTTGTTCCAACATGTGCTACAGGCTGTGGTTGTTCCAACATGTACTACAGGGTGTGGTTGTTCCATCATGTGCTACAGGCTGTGGTTGTTCCAACATGTACTACAGGCTGTGGTTGTTCCATCATGTGCTACAGGCTGTGGTTGTTCCATCATGTACTACAGGCTGTGGTTTGTTCCATCATGTACTACAGGCTGTGGTTGTTCCATCATGTGCTACAGGCCGTGGTTGTTCCAACATGTGCTACAGGCCGTGGTTGTTCGAACATGTGCTACAGGCCGTGGTTGTTCCAACATGTACTACAGGCCGTGGTTGTCCCATCATGTACTACAAGCCGTGGTTGTTCCAACATGTGCTACAGGCTGTGGTTGTTCCAACATGTGCTACAGGCTGTGGTTGTTCCAACATGTGCTACAGGCCGTGGTTGTTCCAACATGTACTACAGGCCGTGGTTGTCCCATCATGTACTACAAGCCGTGGTTGTTCCAACATGTGCTACAGGCTGTGGTTGTTCCAACATGTGCTACAGGCTGTGGTTGTTCAACATGTGCTACAGGCCGTGGTTGTTCCAACATGTGCTACAGGCTGTGGTTGTTCCAACATGTGCTACAGGCTGTGGTTGTTCCAACATGTGCTACAGGCCGTGGTTGTTCCAACATGTACTACAGGCCGTGGTTGTCCCATCATGTACTACAAGCCGTGGTTGTTCCAACATGTGCTACAGGCTGTGGTTGTTCCAAAATGTGCTACAGGCTGTGGTTGTTCCAACATGTGCTACAGGCCGTGGTTGTTCCAACATGTACTACAGGCCGTGGTTGTTCCAACATGTGCTACAGGCCGTGGTTGTCCCATCATGTACTACAAGCCGTGGTTGTTCCAACATGTGCTACAGGCCGTGGTTGTCCCATCATGTGCTACAGGCCGTGGTTGTCCATCATGTGCTACAGGCTGTGTTAGGACCTGCGCTGCCTGGTCAGGTCATCGGGCACCACCTCGCCCACACACGGACCAAACACTATTAAGCATCAACACAAGTACTCAGTTTAGAGTATTACTCACGAGTCAGGTAGTGTTAAGTGGCCTCAGAGAACGGTTTAATACATATTGAAATAGGCTTCCATTTGTCTTATGCTCACTCATAGACTGTGGCTATGAGGGCAGTGAGGCCACGTGCGTATACTTCCACACCACTCAACTTGCACCACATGAAAATATCATATCTTGAGGTTATCTTGAGATGATTTCGGGGCTTGATATCCCCGCGGCCCGGTCCTCGACCACGCCTCCTTTTTGTTGCACACTCCCAGGAAGCAGCCCGTAGCAGCTGTCTAACTCCCGGGTACCTATTTACTGCTAGGTAACAGGGGCATCAGGATGAAAGGAACATTTTGCTCATTTGTCTCCGCCTCCACTGGGAATCGAACCCGGAAACTCAGGACTACGAATCCGAAGCGCTGTCCACTCAGCTGTCAGGCGCGCACCCAGCTGCCAGGCGTCATTCCAACAGCTCCAAAATATTCCCAAATCCATATGATGTCTCTGGTACTTGGAAGATTATAAGCAAATATAGAGTTAAGCGGTTAACATACAGGATTAACATATGCTCCTGACTCTTGGCTTCAACAATGTCAACATTAACAACAGCGTCTCCTCCGTATAGTTTTGGTTAAACACTAAAACGTTAATTTACGATTAAGGTACGAGAGCGTCCTAACATTGTGATGAGTTGTTCATGTGTAACCACTCGACCACTCACCATTACCAGGGGAAACATGTCTCCTCAAAAATAGTTAGTTAGTAATAAGCAATTTGTGATTAAATGATATACCAGTGTGCCGCCTCCACTACTGTGTGTGCAGGGGGAGGGGGCGTGAAATAGTTGTTGTGCAGGTTGGGGTCGTCAAGGGGGTAGGGAGGAAAGGGGGTATTTCAGGGTGAAGGGGGGAGAGAGGGGGGGGGGGTTGTAGGGCGGGTAGAATAGTGGTGTCTGGGAGGACGGGGGGGGTTGTAGGGCGGGTAGAATAGTGGTGTCTGGGAGGACGGGGGGGGGGGGGGGGGGGGGGGAGACAGTGGGCAGTATAGGGGGATGGTGGAGGCAGGAGGATGTGTATGGTAGACCGGACATATAACAACTCCCTGGTTTATACACATGGCAAGAATGCTTCAACTCTGGCACCTGCACAGTTAATATGCTCACGACCTCTGATGGTAAACACATTTGTTATCAAAAGAAAATCATTCACATTGTTTTGATGAAGGTTTACTGTTACCCCAGCAGCTTGGCGCTGCCTTCTCTCACAGCAGGTGTCGCGCTCCTCAATATATTCCCCCATCGAGGCAAAATACACAAATGTAAATCGTAAACAGAGTCTTGAACTCGGCTTGCATTAGTGTGTGGTGTTGGCCAGTGATACACGCACGACTGGTTGACACTTATGCTCAGGGGCGCCTGACACCGTCACAGGCCTCACAGTAGAAACAGTGGGGCGCGGGTTGGGAATGG